AGGGAAAGGAGGCCATGGCCTCGGATGGCTTCAAGTTTACATCATCCCAGCCTACCACCCAGAGGAAAGAGAAAGCTTTGTCTCTGTGTACACACATACTCACAATAGAAGATTCTGACTGGCCCAGTGCAGGTCACGTGCTCACCTGGCCCAGGTACTGTGCTCAGGAGGGAGGTTGGATGGACGCATGCCAACCTGTCCGTATGTGTGCAGAGGGGCTGTGGAGAGGCAGAGCACTGCCGTGGTAGCCCTGTCAGGGCACTTCCTAGAGATTGCTGTTAGCAGAAGATGAGGGCAGGACTGCCATTCAGAAAGCCACGTAGGTGCCCTCTGTCTTGCAGAGGGCTTGGGGCCTGAGAAAGGAGAAGGTTGTGAGAACCTTCAGATAAGCTGCCAGCCTGCCTCTCATGCGGAAGTCCTCAGCCTGTTGGCCCTCGGCAGGCCATGCTTGGGTCAATTTAGAACAAGATGGTAGAGCTTTTGGGCTGGGCACTGAGGGAAGATCTGGAATCCCAGTCACCCACAGTGGTCCTTATCTCTTGTCCCTCCAGCCTGACAGGAGAGCGGCAGGATGGAGCAAAGTTAGGAGCTCAGAGATTTGGCCCAGTCCCAGCTCTGTCACCCAACACTGAGCAAGTTACACTATCTCCCTAGTCTTCGGTTTTCCCATTGTGGGACTGAGTGAGATGATCTTTAAGCCCCTTTCCTTTAAAATTCCGGGATTCTGAGTTTGATGTTTAGGCAACGTCCTGTGTATCTCACGTGTGCTCACATACTTCTTCTGTTACCCTATGTAGTCCATGGCAGGGTGAGGGCCTATGCCTGATATGGGGAGGTAGACAGGGCCCCTGCAGGGGACCCAGAGGCCCCCACTGGAGATGTTTTCTCTGGCAGAGATTTCTTGTTTACCCAAGGAACCCTTGAGACCTAAAGCAACCACACCCGGGGAGGGGGCAGAGGGCGGGCAGCGGGCAGCTGTGTCTGCCCCCCCACTCTGACTCATCCCAAGGTGGGTTGGTTTGGCCCGCCCAGGCCCCAGGGAAGCTGGGACTACAGGGGTTGGATGGCCAGAAGAGGGCCAGGAAGGGCTGTCAAGGAACGGCAGGCTGCCCAAGGGCATCACTCAGCTTTTGGATGGCTACCGCTCTGTTCAGGTGAAGTGGGCCCTCCTGGCAGTCATAGCTCTGCCAGCTCACCAGAGGCTCCAGGGCTTCCTGAAGTAGCTGGTAGGAGAGGAGTCAGCAGGGAGTTTTCAGTGCTTGTAACAAAACAGGTTGGTCCAACCCACTTCTGAGTTAGAGCAACCAAGCGGCCTCATCCCAGGTGAAAGGGAACTGAAGAATGTCCTGAGGGGGCTGTACCAGTCCCAGGATATCAGGCTTTCCTATAGTGGGGGTTGACCTGGAGTGTTACAGGACCCTGGAAGCCCTGGGGAGGCCTCTGGACCTGTCCTTTACCTGGAGGCTTTAAAGGGCTGACCATCTAAACACACACACACACACAAACATGTGCACTTTCACTCACATATTCAGCTAGTGCATATTCAGGAAGACCTGCTTTGATCTCTGGAGCTCACCACCAAGTTCCTGAAATGGCAGGAGGTGAACACCTGAACCCAAAAGTGTCTACCTTTTGGGCCAGCAGGTGGCACATAGGTTAAAGAGGCTGAATCTCACATGGATGATTGCATGGTTCAAGTCCCAGACCTGGTGGTGGCTTGAGAAACATGCCAGGCATGTGTGCATGCATGCCCAAAATTCCAAGAGGTAAATGGAGGAGAGAGGATTGCAGCGTGGTCACTCCCCCTGGGAGAAGGTGATTTCTCACTTTTCCTCTTTCTCTGTCTCTCTCTTGTCTCTCTCCGATGAGTGTACATACCCTATAGGAAAAATAAATGTGTCTGCCTTGCTAACAGATTGAAGAGGAAGGATAGGCAGCCACCAAGAGGAAAGAGAACTACACACAGGTGGGAAGGAGCCTGACGGTGAAGAAGAGCTTTACCTGGGCCTTGAAAGCTAAGCAGAGGGAGGAAGCCATTACAGTAGCAGGCGGCAGGAAGACACATTTGCACAGCATCAGCTCCATGCCCACCAGGCACCTCCTCACCCTTCAAGGGCCCTGAGCAAGACACTAGGAGTGATAAAGACTTCCTGAGCTTACTCATCTCAGCTATTTTTTTAAATTAACTTTTTTGAGATATACCCTACATACCATATAATTCATCCTTTTAAAGTATGTAATTCATAGGTTTTATAACCACCACTATTAATTCCAAAATATTTTCATCACCCCTAAAGAAACTCCATACACAGTAACAATCATTCCCCATTTCTCCCTTCTCCCCAGTTTCAGCACCCACTAATCTACTTCCTGTCTCTATGAATAATTTACTTATCCTGGTCATTTCATATAAATGGAGTCACATAGTATATGACCTTCAGTGACTGGCTTCTTCTACATAATATTTCCAAGCTTCATCCATGTTATAGAGCATATATTTATCAATACTTTATTCCCTTTGTGGCTAAATGACATTCCACTGTATGAATACACCATATTTTATTTATCCATTCATCAGTCTGGATTGTTGAGTCATTTGGATTGTTTCCACATTTAGGCTATGATGAATAATGCTGCTGTGTACGTTCATGGAACTCTTTGTGTGAACATAGGTTTATAATCTTCTGGGGATAGACCTAGCAGTAGAATAGCTGGATCACAAGGCAATTCTATGTTTAATTATTTTAGGAACTAACAGACTTTTCCAAAGCACCATTTTACATTTCCACCAGCATTGCCTGAGGGTTCCGGTTGCTCCACATCTTCCCCACCTCTTGCTATTATCTATCTTTTTTCACTCCAGCCATCCTAGTGTGTGCAAAGTGGTATCTCATTGTGTTTTGTTTTAGTTTTATTGCCAGGGTACACTTGCTTGCCAGAGAAAGAGAGAGAAAACAACATTCCCTTAATGGGGAATGGTCACACTGAATCTTTTCTCCTCTATTTCTCCATCCTGTCAGGATTTGGGGCACACACACACACACATGCCATGTATGTGTTCATTCAAGCTTCCTGGGCTGGGATTTGAACTGTAGTCAGCTATGTCAGATCTGGTTTCCGATGCACAGGACTTAACCACTGCTCTATGGAGCTGGCCCTTCACTGTGGTTTTAACTTTCATTTCCCTAATGACCTCTCAGGAATATTTGTATTTAAAGGAAATAGTAATCTACAGAAGAGACATCAGCAGCAGCCAAGGATACCAGACTAACCCTGGGATAGTAGCAGAAGGCACTCTTCTCTAAAGAATCAGATATGTGTTTGCTTATTCATTCATTTCATAAATATCTGTTAAACTCTTCTTACATGCCAGGCTCTGCTGGACATTGGGTTCAGTGAAAAACTTGATAGACGTGGCTTCTGCCCTAATGGAGCTTACATTCTAATGGAAAAGTTAAGCATTAGACAGCTAATAATTGTACACCTAGTCATTTGATAGGTTGAAATAAGAACCACAAGTAGAAGTATATGAAGCTGAGAGGAGGAATAAAGGAGGAGCCTGACCAGCCTGAGAAGTCAGGAGAGACCTGTCTAGACATTGATATTCTGAATGTCCTGGTCAGGAGAGCATCAGGCTTGACCAATGTAGTTTGAACATATTGAAAGACAGACTATGAGATGAAACAGTGGAGGTGCTGAGGCCCAGAGGAGGAGCTGGGGAGCACAGCCATGGTATGTGACAAGCCTGAGTGTACAGCCATGGTCCCCACCACCCCAGGATCCTCACTGCTGTCCCCTGCTCTCTCAGCGTAGCTGGAACAGTATGAGCCTGTGATGAGCAACCTCGGCTACTTGTGACTACAGGGGAAGCCACACTAGGCCTGGTTGGTGCTGGCTGAGCTTTCTCTGGCTGAGCCAAGACCCATGGGAGGGCCAGGCCTGTGGTCCACGTGCATTTGCATTCATCCACCATGTGGAGCTTTGGTGCTGATGTGCTCTTCTGCAAGGGACTGGGCGGCTGGCAAGAATCATAATTAGGGGTCAGGAGCCCCCAAGGCCTTGTAACAACATACAGCGTGTCTCTGGACAGGCTCTTCACCATGTTCTTTTCTTGCTTCTCCTTCACGATGTAATGGAAGGGCAGGACAACCTCAGGTCCTTTCAGTGATAGGATTTTGCAACTTTGACAGCAGGCATGGTGACCCCAGCCGTTTCTCTTCTCTGTCTTATTCCCTGGGTCTCACTGACCCAGAAGTGGGACAGAGACCAACAGGAGGCCTCCTCTCCTCAGCCAACATGTGGATATCAGCTGGGTCTGGGGCTTAAAGTAGGAGGGAGACTCCACAGGGGTAGGGCTCAAAGATGCCAGCTCCACTGCAGGCATGATGTGGAGGGCAAGGCAGGAGCTGGCCTGCCCGCTGGGCTTTATCAGCAAACTCCTCAGACACATACAGAGGCAGGGCTGTGTATACACTTCAGTCCCCCACGCTCCATCTGTCTCCCCACATGTCTAAACACTGTGGGCGCCAAGTGCCTGCCCTCCTCCTCCTCCTCTCACCTCTCCCATTACTGAGGGGAGCTGTGGAGACTCAGTACCCCTGAGGAGATAGCCTCAGCCAAGGCAGAATGAGCTGGGCCACCTCAGTCAGGAGGCCATGCTGGGAGCGAGGGAGCGAGGCCCTCAAGAGCCCCAGAGGGCTGACGGGAAGCAGGAACCAACTGTTGGCTGCCCAATCCAGAAACACAGCCCAGTGCGTTACCTTACAGATAAAAACTGTTTGGGGCATGAATTTTCACTCACACCAGCTTTCTGGATGCCATCTCCCAATGGGGGAGCAGAGCTCTCAGATGAATCAGATCCATCCAAGGTGTAGTCTGGGCTAGCAGCCTGGCTGCCCGGTCTTGCTCTCATCCAGTTTTCGCATCCCCGCTGTCCCCAGCCTTCTCCTCAGCCCCATCTCCCGCCCAACAAGCTGTAGCCCTTGATTTATTGCCCAGGCTATCCAGGCCCAGAGGCTTCCCCCAAGGCAGCAGCTGACCAGGCGGGGGAGGCAGGGCCTGCCTGGCATGGGGGAATGTGGAGAAGACCCTGGATGCTGGTGGAGACGGGGCAGAGTGGCCTGTATAGCATTCCTGAGCAGCTTGGAGCCAGATCCAACGGGGGAGAAAGACAAGGAGAGAGAGGTAGCAGGGCTCCCCCCCAGCGCCCCACATCTCTCCAGATCTTAGAAAATGGCGGCATCCAGAAGGTGGCACCCTGCAAGGTCACTCCCCTTCAGCCAGTCCCTGGTCCGCTGGAGCCTAAGCAGTGTGCACAGCTGGAGGTTCCTCCTCCCTGCCCTCCTGACTTTGCCCCCACAGTAGGCCTCACCATCACAGCCGTCTGTCATGTAGCCCCCAGAAAGACAGGCAGGGAGGGCACAGAGGGAGCCCCCAGTCCAGCAGAGAAAGCAGTTTCTGCTGCTGTTTCACTCCCTCCAAAAGAAGCAAATCTTCCCGGCCTTTGGAAGTTCGTTCAGAGTGCATACAGGTGGGAGATGGCACTGGGCCATGGCAGAGCCTGTGGCAGCCTCCCATTTGGCTTGCTGACCAATGGGAGAGACCACCAGACCATCACGTCCGGTCATCCCAGCAGCCCGTGGTGGCCTTCTAGTTTTGAGATAGCCATGCAGGGCCATGAAGGAGCTGATTCCTGGGGCCCACATGTGGCCTCAGTGGGTCACTGGCTCGTGTCTTTCATACCTCCAGTGAGCACCACCCTGTCATCCTGGTCTGGACATGCCCGGAAGTGCAACGAGACAGCCAAGTCCTACTGTGTCAATGGTGGCGTCTGCTATTACATCGAGGGCATCAACCAGCTCTCCTGCAAGTAAGTGACCAGTGGGGGCGGGCATGGGGCAAGAGCAGGAGATGCTGGGGCAGCAGTGGAGGGCTCTAGGAAAAGGGGGTTTCAAAGCATCCCCCAGGGATGTAGATGGGGAGGTCTGTCTACCTCCTACCCCTTTCCTGGAATATAAGGAGAGACGTGCTCTAAGGGGCACAGGGGCTTCTGCAGTCTGTTTCCCAGGCCCCCACCTACCCCATCCCCTGACGTCCGCCCTTTCACCAACACCATTTAGGGAGATGGGGATGCCAGTCTATGCCCTGGGCACTGGGTTCTCTCTCTCTCTTTCTCTCTCTCTCTCTCTCCTCCTCCTCTCTCCCCCACCTCCCTCCCCATCTCTCAGCAACTCTCCAAACTTTGTTCTTGATGACCACACCCCAGGCTGCATCTTCCCTGCAGTCAGGGGCCTGGCAGGGCAGGCAGAGCACAGGTTCTGGGCCCTTACAGTGGAGGCTCCTGCGCTGTGCTCATGACGTGACGGAAGAAGGCTCTGCCATACCCAGCGCCAACCTCGGGATCTGGCTGCTCTCCCTGCCCTGCAGGATCTCAGGGTCCAAATATGCCCTGACTGCTGCTGCCTGGGCCCCTTCAGCCCCAGCCCCCTCTCCCTGGGGTCAGGTGACATCAACAAGGACAGCACTCCGGGGACAGGTCAAGGTGGAGGAGAGGCTTATGTTGGAGCCCCTCTGCTTCCCCGAGGGCCAGTGCCTGCTCGCCAGGCAGGCAAGGTGGTCCCAACAGGAACCCCATGGAGCTCAGAGCTGCCCTCCCCACTAGCAGAGGACAGGAAGGAGCAGGCAGGGGTGGGGGGTAGCCAGATGTCTTGGGTGGGGGGCCCCGCAGTGTCCCTTGGACGGGAGTTGGGTGGGGGGCCTGGCCAGGGAGCAGAGGCTCCTACCAGACCTTGGAGAAGAGTGAGAGGGGATTCTAGTTAACAACTTTTTTTTTTTAAAGCAGCCCAAGCCTAGGGCCCTAGCAAGGTGCCAAAGCTGCCCCATTCCCATGGCATCTAGGCAAAGGCCACCAAAGTACTGATGGAGACTCAGAGGCATTTGCCCTCCCACACACACACACACAGAGACAAGGTCAGATTCAGCACTTCTCGGCCCTCCTGCCTCTTCTCAGCCACAGCCTTGCCTGGGAGCGTGCACCTGGTGAGGAGACCTGGGCGCTGAAAGAACACTCCACCTAACGGCATGTGGACGAGTGCCAGGCCTCCACCTCACTCCCCCCGGGCGCAGGAGTAGCGTGGCCTCCTCAGCCAGGCAGACCATGGCTCTTGCCCCTGCTGGCCCCCTTGGCTGCCTTCGTCCCCAGTCCCCTTTTCACCTGACCATCCCCTTCCTGCCCTCCCCCATCCCGAACCTCAGGGGACAGTCTCAACAGCCACGGCAGGTCCTCAGGGCATCCTCAGTCCATGCCTAGCCCTGCGCCCTTCTGCTCCTTCTGCCTCTAGAAGGCCACCACGTTAGCGTTACAGACCCTGGGGAGCACTGGCCTGGAAAATGCTCCGAGCTCTTCGGAGAGGTCTACTAGAAACTCTTAAGGTCCTGGAATACCTCACAGGAGAGCCCAACCCTGTGCCTCTGCTTCTTTGCTTCCCCCCACACACAGACCGGACTTCTCTCTCCTGGCCCCTCAGCCCCTTTGTCACTGTGACCACCCCTGGTTAAAGACAGTTAAGGGCAGGCACCGAGGCTAAGGTGGGCCATGGGGGCCAGGGCTCCATGATACAGTTCAGAGTGGAGAAGGGAGTGGCAAGATATGTGGGCGCCCAGAGGGCCTTGCCTACCCAGCTACACCCCTCAGACCTCTAGGTCCTGCCTGGCTATATCTGAGAGGAACAGAGGGCAGCGGCCTGAGCCATTGCGAAGACCGTGCTGTTTCCTGTCTCCACCAGGGCAACTGGGCTTCACAACTTAGAGCTTGAACTTGGTCCCTAGAGCCACCACTTCCCCATCTCAACCCCCAAGTCAGCCCCAGCCAGGGCTCCTGGAACCAACTTCCCTGACTCCCTTTGTCAGCCCTCCCGGAGAGGGACATCCCTGGCGGGGACTGCGATCAAGACAGCAGGTCCTCGAGAGCTGTGCTGGAGAAGGGCAGGGGGAGGGGGGCAGGGCAGAACCCAGAGGCCATTCTGGGGGTGGGTGAGCTGGGAGGGAAGGGGGGCAAGCCTCTCAGGGTTCCTGATGACACCTGAATGGAATAAAAAGGAAAGAACTTAGGAAATGGAACTCACGTCTTACCATTTGTGCTGTTTGTTTACTTTTTATTTTGATTTTTTTGCATTTCCGCTTAGCTTGGATAATGAAACTACACTGGTCAGTTTCATTCCAGTTTCTCTAAAAATCAGTTTTCCTTCCTGGTTTTCTTACACTTGTTGTTGTGTATCGGTTCAGAGCCCTGCAGGGGATGTTGGAAGGCAGGCACACTCCGTCCCTCCTGTTTTTCTGAATTCAGTGCCAAAAGCAACAGTGCCACTGATACCGAATTTTGTTTAAAAGAACACTTAGGAGGATTTGAAAATGGGGGTCCAAATCCAGGTGACTGTCTCCTGTCTGGGTCAGACAGGAGCCTCTGCACTTCCTCTCGCTGCTTTCTCCTCTTCTCTCGTGTGTTTGCAGAGCACGGTTGGTGCGTGACTCTTGGGGACTGGTTCAGGGGATGATGACAGAACAAGACTCTCTTTCCAGCCCTGTGCACATACCAGCGGCATGCCTCCTGCCATCAGCCCATCCTTCCCATCTGTCTGCTCCTGCCCCAGCCCTGGCCCTGCGATTTCCCATCCTACCCATCTGCCTGCTCATCCAAACCACCTTTCCACCCCATCCCTCATGGACTCACAGCCCCTTCACTCCCTCCAGTGCCCGGGCACACCTTCATCCTTCATCCTTCCCACCCCCGGGTGAGGGCAGCACACATGGCATTATCCCCAGGCTACCAAAAGGAGAAACTGAGGCCCAGGAGGTGGGGTGGGGAAAGGGGAAGGCAGAGGTGCTGGCCTCTCTGTCACCCCAGATGCAGCCCGTGGGCTTTCCTCTCTGCCCCTCTTGCCCTGCTCTTCTCCAGCCCTGGCTACAGAGCTTCCTGGAGTCATAGCTGATGACTTGGTGGGAAGGGCTGGGAAGGCTTTCCTGCTGCTCCTTCTAATCTGTCTTCTGTGCCTCTGGAATTCAGAGGGTCAATCCCCGTTTGAGTGGGAGCCGCCAGCCAGCCGCCCACACTGAGTTCATCAGCATCTCCCAACCTGGTTGGTAGCTAATGCACCCCACACCCTGTTACCCTGGTCTTGAATGCAGGCTAGAGAGGCCGTAGACCCAACCAACCCCCAGAGCCTTCTCTAGGGAAGCCCCAGCCCCCTGGATGTAGTTTATCCTCAACAAGCAGGACTAGGGAGAGAAATAGGAGTGTCCAGGAGCCCCCTGAAGGAGCTAGCACCCAATATACAGCACTGCTGACCGTCTGGCCCACGGCCTGCACTGTGCCTACCCCAGGGGCCTTTTCTTTTGTTCATCCAGTGGGGATCACACTTTCTCAAGGCAGAAAGGTTTGGACCATAACTGCATAACTCCAGGGGGACACATTTATGTCGTAGACCAAGTCAGTGGTGCCACCTGGAGTTGTGCAGCACAGTGGCCTTGAAAGAGAGGAGGATGTAGTCAGCGTAGTCCAGGCTGGGTATGGAACCACAGACGCAGGGATGCATCTAGTTATTATTGGTCTCCAAGTTGTGGGACAGCAGCCCCGTTTGTCAGCAATAGGAATACATTTCCCCTTTGTCGTCTCCTGTCCTCAGTATGGAACCACAGACGCAGGGATGCATCTAGTTATTATTGGTCTCCAAGTTGTGGGACAGCAGCCCCGTTTGTCAGCAATAGGAATACATTTCCCCTTTGTCGTCTCCTGTCCTCAGTATGGAACCACAGACGCAGGGATGCATCTAGTTATTATTGGTCTCCAAGTTGTGGGACAGCAGCCCCGTTTGTCAGCAATAGGAATACATTTCCCCTTTGTCGTCTCCTGCCCTGGCACTCCCCCACTCCGTTACACAGAGACACACACGCACATGCACGCACACATTCCAGCATACGCATACAGTTTTCTCTGCCTCCAAGAGCTGTGCTGACCTCAGACATTGGACACGGTGAAATCTATCTCTTCATTGTTCCTTTGTGGATTCCCAGAGTCATTTTGGCAACGTGTAGATCTTTATCGTTCCCCACCCCCACCAAGGTTCTTCTGTTTGAAAAATCACTTCTCTCCCTCTGGTCCCCTCCCAAGCGGACACAGTTTCTAGGAGCTGAGGAGGAAGAGCTGAACCTGGCTGTGGTTGGTTGGAAAGCCTTAGCCTTGGCCTCTATTTTCCTGGGCTGGGATGGTCAGGAGCAAGTGCCAGGGATCAGAGAAGGACATACTGACAGGGGGCCTCCTCCTCCAAGCCACCCTGTTCAACAGGATAAGCATAGATCTTTGTCATGTATTCAACCTCCCACCAACCCCACGGCCAAGTATACCTGCACACACACTCTCACCACTCTAAGCCCAGACTCCTACCTCCTGAGGGAGGCCCAGAGAAACTCCAGTTCTCTGCTCACCCACTGCTCCCATTCCACACCCTCTAGATTTGAGGCCTCAAGGTTTTCCTAAGTATCTGTCACAGGCAATGGCAACCACCCACTGCAAGCCCAAGGGACTGGGCGTACACTAGACCTGCCACCAGGGAGGACGCACTTACCTCCTGAGGAAGTTTAGGTTTAGTGATGTTACTGAGGGGACACTGGTGAGAAGTTTATGTAATTTCCTGAAGAAGCAGCACAGGCAATATAGTCCAAAAGCCCCATCTCTGAGTAGGGAGCTATCAGCTAGGGGTCAGTCTAACCCTGTCCTTAGCTTCGCCTTAGGTATCTGGCCTTGCCGGGTTCAGAAGAGAGTACAGGGCTGGGCATGTCTCCCAGAAGTATGCAAGATGGAGACTTGCTTCAGGGGAGCTATGGCCACCAGAGAGCAGAAGGAAGTGTACCTTGGGGGTCAGGACAGGATCAGGATGATGAGAGTGGGTGGAGCTTGTGAGCAGTAGGGCAGGCAAGACAAGAAGGAGACCAGGCAGCGGGTCACAGGCAAGTGCAGGGTGTCCCAGGCTGGCTGCCAGTAGGCCCCGAGGAGGAACAGGCTTCCAGGGTTCCCCAGGGAGCCTGCTGCAGCCCCCACTGTGATTCTCACCATCTGGGACCAGATCCCCCAAGCCCGGCATCAGGAAGGCCAGCTCTGGGATGCTGGTAACCCCAGCTCCACTCAGTGTCCCCTTTCCCAGTTAAGCCTTCTGCAAACCGTGTTCTAGAAGAGTCCCTTGAAAAAAATGATTTCTGTGGCCAAATAAATTTGGGATATACTGACAATTTCAGCTATTTCTTCCTATAAAACTTTCACATGCTACTTAAGTACATTGCATGCCTGTTAGGAGCCCGGGAGATGGGTTGCCTAAACTTATCTGGCCACAGAACCCTCTTTGAGAGACCAGATAAAACATCTCTTTTGCCCTGGACACACAGTCTGGAAACAGCATTCCAGGGTTCTCCTTTGAGCTTTCTGGAGGCCGTTTTGCGGGTGAGAAAACCTGCCCAGGACCCGGGAAGAACCCTTCAGTAGGGCCTGGGAGGAAGGAGTGGCTCCCAAGACCTGGGTATTCTTCAGGCTCTTAACACCTGCCTGCTGGCTCCCTGGCACCAAGGGGCTACAGTTCTGGCTTCCCGGGGTACCAGGCGGGTAAGAAGGAAGGTCACAACCATAAGTTGGACAGCTAGTCAGTAACCCCCATCATCCCTCCCCCACTTCCCCAAATCATCCTCTTCCCCACCCCACCCTGCCTCCCACCACCCATGGAGCCACACACAGAGAGATTTGTAAGGAGATTTCAGAGCCCTCCACCCAGCCCCAACTCCAGCCCCTTCAGCGACAAGTGTGACCCCAGTGCCCGACTTGGTTTTTCTCATTCATCACTGTGCACTTTGATTTCTAACCTGAGCCTCGCGGATGATGCCAGTTTGTTCTGTGATTTTTCCCCTTTTCCTTCTCCAGATGTCCAAACGGATTCTTCGGACAGAGATGTTTGGAGAAACTGCCTTTGCGATTGTACATGCCAGATCCTAAGCAAAGTATGTTTGAAGATACAAACACAAGTCCCTGCTCCTTAGAAAGCTTCCGGGTGCAGTCCCCCCCGATGTAGGGCATAGGGCCAGGGGTGTTGGTTGTTTTGATCTTTGGCTGTTTTGTTTTGTTTCTCTTTTCTTTTTTGTATTTTGGTTTGTTAGTTCTTTTGTTTTGTTTTGTTTTGTTTTGCTTTGTTTTTCATTTTTGGCCTAATCCTTGGGTTTAAAGTTCAGGGCTGCAGGTAAGGGGCAGAGTGGCAAGGCCAGTACAAATGGTAACGGTGGCAAGGAGCCCGGCTGGCACTGGCAGGAGCCTGTGCCGGGGTGTGGCGATACCTGTGTCTTGCTATCCTGGCTCTCTCTTTCTGGTTTTCTTTCTTTTGGTAGGTGTCCTGTGGGATACACCGGGGACAGGTGTCAGCAGTTCGCAATGGTCAACTTCTCCAGTATGTCTCTTTCTTCTATTTCTTCTCTTCCCTGGTGACTGACAGTCCCCCCCTGTGGGAGGGGTGGGGCCTTGCTGAGCAAGATCAGAGGTGAAGCAGGGGTGTCCTGGGCTCCTCTCAGTCCTCAGCGCTCCCTGGAAGCCTGTGCAGAGGAGCCTGATACACCCCCGGAACCCCTCCTTCCATCCATGGGCTGTTCGCTGGGCACATTAATACTCAATTCTCTCTGCAGCCACTGGGGCCATGCTCAGGCCCCTTCCCCACTTCTGGGGTCAGGCAGCCTGGCCAGAATGGGGAGCGCCCTCACCTGCCTCTGGAGGCTATTCAAGGGTATCAGGCTGCTGATAGGGTCCTGCAATGAGTGTGTGCGTGTCTGTGTCAGCATGTTTGAGAGGGAGGGAAAAACATTCTCAGAGCCTGTCATCCCATCTAGCCAGAGTTGGCTTGTTTGGGGGTTTGGGGACGGAGTGAGGAAAGAGGGAGCTGAGGGAGTGCAGGATGCCACAGACATTTATGTGGCTAGAGAATGGGGTGGTGTGGGGTTCTACAGAGGTGAAAAAACAGAGGTAATGAGGAATCAGGGGATAATGGATGTCTCTATCCAGGCTATCTCTAGTCTGAATTCCTATCCAGGATTCTATTCCCTTATTTTCTTATAGTTCTGAGGTTGGAGCTTTCTGGCTTACACAATTATTGGTGGGGGGTGGGGGGAAGCCCTGAAGCCATGATTATGGAGTGCTTTATTTGGGTCTAGGAGCAGTTCCTTCATACACCACCAGGTGGAGTTGGAACCGAACAAAAAGCCACCGGTGGACCAGCATCTCCGTTTGGAGTCCCATGGTCTGTTAGCCTGCAAGACCTGTCCCTGTCAGTCATCCCATCCTGCTGGCAGACTAGGCCCTGCTCCCACCTCCTTCTCTCCAAGGAGGATATAGCTGAGTCCTGTGAGGAGTTAGGAGCCAGAATATTTTGATGGGACCTGGATGTTGGGAGGTAGAACCTGGATGTTGGGACCCAGGGGGCCATTTAGGTAGTCCTTGGAGAAAAGGGGTCTGGGACTCAGGATGGAGAAATGAGCCTTCCCAGCCCTCCTCAGACCACAACACAAAAGCCTGGAAAATTACTCCTCATCCAACCAAGTAGGGTGTAGGCATGAGGGCTGACCAGCCCAGATGGCCATCTTAATAGAATACTGGAGGCAGTGCTTTCTCCAGGCCCTTCCAGTTGGGGGCCAGGGAGGAAGGCTGTGAGGATAAGGGCAGAGCCTATGGGCAGAACATGTGGCCCAAAAGAATTCTCTAGAACCCAGACTTTGGAAGAATTTCAGAATCATATCCAGTCCTGTATGTAGGGTTAGAGGGGCTTCAGGAGGAGGCAGGACATCCAGGCAGAGCCATGTACAAGGAGAGAGGCAGTGGGGGTCATATTCTTTCCACCCTTTGGCCAAGAGCCACTCTGGCTGCTGGGACCACTCAGGACCAGGAGTCCCAGGCTGTCCTGCATCAGAGTTGCAGAGCCAATGGAATTCAGGCTGCTGTCCAAGGCCTCTCTGCCAGCTGAGCCTCCTCAGCTTTCAGGTCAGATCTGCTAGGAGGGACAGCAGGACCCCGGGAGCCCAGAAAAGAGCCTGCAAATGCAGCCCCAGGCCTTCCTGCCTGTTGTCATCAGTATCATTACTGTCACTGTTGCAAGGATTCATGCTCTTCGAGCATTTTCTCAGGGAGCACTGCATGTGCTGCTCTGGTGAGTAATTACTGAAAGGTGGTATACAGTGCTATCTTGAGTGTTCAGGCTTCGGGTTCACGGAGACCTGAATAAAAGTGCCAGCTGCTAGCTTACTAGGTCTGGGGTCTCTTCTAACCTCTCTGAATTCAGTTTTTCATCTGTAAAATGGGAATGATAACATTTATGCCTACTGGGTTGCTGTGAGGATGAAATGAAGTGATGCTTATGGATGGCCACTGTCTTTAGAGTACAACCACAGCAGGTATGAGGGTGGGAAAGAGGAAAGTATCAGCCCCCCTAGAGGCAACTCCCTCCATATCCTGAGCAAAGGGTTAGACCTTCACACCCTGCCCAGGTAGCACGTAGACCAAATAACCCTTAGCAAAGGCCAGGGAGACCAAGCCTGTGGCCACAAGAGCACTTTGCACTTTCTTCTTCCACTGACAGCTCCTCCATCTTCAAGAGTCTTCATCCATCTGTATGGCCCTGTGTATGAATAAACAGACCCACATACCTGCATGCACACACATATACCAACACACAAAGACTCACGTGTGCATACATGTAAACACATGAGCATGTGCTCACACACCTGCACACATAAGCTAGCATACACTCACGTATTCGTACACATGCAAGCACAAGAGCAGATGCTCACACCGCACAGCCATCACTGCCTCCTTCTCCAGGCACCCTGTGACAGTGTTTCATGGGACATGCCCAGGACGAAGAATTTGCATATTGTCTAGTAAGCCTGACCTGCTCTGTTGGGAATCCAACATCAAGTTGCCGTGGTTACCAGTCAATATGTAAATCTCTGGCCAATAGGAGGTTCCTGTGACTCAGCATTGCCACCATATCCTGACTGACAGCCAGTGCACATGATGAGTGGGAACCTTTTCTTTGCTGGGCAGACATGACTGTAGGCCCCACAACCATGCTTCCCTACCTGGCTACTGACCAAGCCCTCCATGACCTCGCCAGTCATACCAGCCACCACTGGTCCACCCTAAATAGCACTGGCCTTTAACTCAAAGAAGAAGCCAGACGGGTGCTCCAAAAGCTTCCGCCAATATGATTTGGTTCCCAGAGGAGTGACAAGGAGGAAAACTCTTATAGGGCTCTAGGACCCCAGATGGTCATTGTCCTTGGGAATTATCAGTCAGGCCTTCCTGGAGACTAAATGGCCAGGAATAATCTTGTTCTGGTCCTGGGAGACCAGAGACATGGCCTCTAGTCTCCTGCCTCTTAATGTGCTGAGTGGCCTTGGGAAAGTGTCCGGGCACCACTCGGCCCCAGCTGCATCACCTAATACAACCCCTCTGAAAGCGGGGTCTGACCATCTCAATGAGCCCTGGACCCTAAGGTTCCAGATGCTGAGGTCAGGCGGGGCTCTTCCCTCTCAGGGGCACGTGGCTTGAGAGCCAAACGACGTGAGCCCTCTGGAGCTGCCTGGAGGATTCCTGGGCCACAGGATCAAAGGCTGTTGTCCCAAGGCCCCTGTGAGTTTGTCAAGTTTACACAGTTCACCCAGCACAGCTGACCAGCCTTGGGAGGCCCTGGAGAGGAGTGGATAGACTGTGTTAACAACCACTTTCTTCTACCTCCATGCAGTCAGAGGAAGACTGCAAAGAAATCAAGACTCCAAGTCACTCTCACCCTCAGGATTAATAGGGGTGCGCAGAAGGGCTCATTTTTTGGAAGGGCTAGAATTAACGCTTCATTGGTTTCTGCATGGAGCTGGGGGTCGAAGCCCCAGGATCTTCCTCAAGACTCTTTCTGTCAGAGCCACCTTGGTCCCTGGCTCAGAGCCACCTGCTCTCCTGCCCTTTTCCAAAATCAGAAGCCTCTGGAATCCCTACCAGGAAGCGACCGAGATCCAGGGGTGGAGACTGAGCAGGACTTCCCCTGCAGCAGGAGAGCAGCAGACACATTTCCCACCTGCTCTGGATTAGCGAAGCTGACCATGTCCATGGGAAAGTCGGAGAGCGAGCAAATCCAGACTGGCAGGAGCGGCCTGCCCCGTGCCGAGCCCCATGCTGCCCAGGCCTGTTTGTGTCTTCCCCTAACTGTGTACGGGCACTTTTGACAGACGAGAAAACAGAGACTGACTTACCCACATCCATGTAGCAAATCAGGGACAGAACTGAAACTTGAAGCCTGCAGGCAAGTGCTGGCTGCTACGTTAGAACCATAGGTGAGATTTTTTTAAAACCCTGTTGAGATTTCTGGGCTTCCACCAAGAGCTGGATTCCATTGGTCTGGAAGATTCGAAATGGTGGCCTGATTTACAAACCTCCTAGGAGCCCATGGTCAAGCCTGATCCTCACTTAATAGGTAAGAGACTGAGATCTATTGGGTCGTCAGAAACGTTGTGATGTATTTTTTATATTTTTCTATGCAAAACTGTGTCATGACTTTTCCGACAACCCAGTAGATGGCTTAGGTGTTTCTCAGTGTCAATACCAAATCAGTGGTCAAGCTGAGCCTTGAGCCAGAGCTCTGAAATCGCACATTCATAACCTGATCCCACTTCCAAGCCTATAATTTCCCCACCGCATGAGGAGCTCAGAGATCCCACAAGTGAACCCACCTGTCTCTGAGTTAGCCTTCTAAGTAGTGAGATCAGCCTCAGGCACCGTGGCCCAGCCCCAGTAGGCTTCTAGGGTGTCGGGGTATCAAGTGTAGAGGTGACCTGCTGCCTGGAGCCCCCTCCTCTCCCTGCCCCTGCTCCCTACAGACTTTGAGACCCCACGCCCAGGCTCCTGGTAGATGGGCAGGCCTGGGGAGTAGGCAGGGACATGGGGCCAGTCTGGGAACTTCATATCCTCATTCTGAACCGAAGAAATGGCCCCCATCCATAAGCGAGCCTATGGCTGGGCATGCTGTCTCCAGGAGGGCTTGAGAGTACTGCAGGCCTGCCACTGGGTGGGGGAGGGGAGAAGGGAGACTCCTTGCTCCCCACCACCCTTTCCTCTCAGGGCATGTTTGCCAACTGACCTCACGCCTCTGCCTCCCCTCAGGTACTAACCCACGGCTCATCTCTAAAGAACCTGCCCTGCCTGCCGACGCTAACATTTCCTCTCTCTACCGGTCTTGGGGCTCTTGAGGACTAGGTGCCAGGGAAGGAGCTCAGGGGGCCGGGAGGGACATAACTAACCTGCTTTCACCTCACAGGCTGGCTGCCCGGTGTCTGAAGAGTCCTGACCAACGTTTCTCTCTCTCTCTCTCTCCCATCCCCTCCCATTTCTCTCTTTCTCTCTCTGCCTCCTCCTCCACCCCTTCCCTTTCTGACCCCCTCTTGTGCACTGCCAGAACACCTTGGATTTGAATTAAAGGGTACGGAACCTCTATGTATCTCTCAGCGCCATCCACACAGCCCCTCTCCACAGCCTCTGGCACCATGTGGCTGAATGTTTGGTTTCCTTTTCAAAAGACAGAAAAGGGATGATTCCAAACAGCTCCCCTGGACCTACCCAAATATCCTGTCATAAACTATGTTGATTTGGGGAGGCAAGAGAAGCTCGCCAATAGCAGGGTGCCTGCTGGGGGTGCCTCCTGAGCTGTGGGCAGCCCAGGAAGTCAGATAGAGACAGGCTCCATATTGAACATGGCCGCCCGAAGAACTAGTATCTGGAAACCACAGAAGCCCGGGTTGGAGAGTTGTGCAGAGAGGCATCTCTTTCCATGTGACTTTAATCCTCTTTCTTTTTTCCATTTCCATCCATTTCCATTGCTTTTTGCTCTATACCAGGCTGGTAGCTGATAACTCCTCATTTGTCTCTGCCCCTGCCCTGCGTCTGTCTGCCAAGCTTTGCCATCTGCTTGAGGCTGTCACTCCGTTCATGAGCTGTCCCCGCGATGGGACCTGTGTGCATCTTTGGGCAAGACCAGCAAGGGTCTGGGTTGGACTGGCCTCTGATGCTACCCTTCCCCCAGTTCAGAATCTTACCTGCCCCTGCCCCCTGCCATTTATGTGCAACTGCCTTCTGGCCCCTGGAAGACCCCTCCAGGGGTGTTCCATGTTTCCAGCTCTCTGGCTTTGGGCTGAGAGGCTGTACCCCAGCACAACTGTCCAGACTTGAGCACTACAACAGGAGCCATGTGGGGTTGAAGCTTCTGTGGGGCGGGCCCTCAGATGAAGTGCAGAGTCTGCAGTGATGTAGGGACTGTTCTTGTGGCGGGTTTGGGGAGGCCTTAGTTCCCCTATCAGGCGAACCCTATCAGCTATTCTCTAAGTGCCCCCCATCCATAGGCGAGCCTATGGCTGGGCATGCTGTCTCCAGGAGGGCTTGAGAGTACTGCAGGCCTGCCACTGGGTGGGGGAGGGGAGAAGGGAGACTCCTTGCTCCCCACCACCCTTTCCTCTCAGGGCATGTTTGCCAACTGACCTCACGCCTCTGCCTCCCCTCAGGTACTAACCCACGGCTCATCTCTAAAGAACCTGCCCTGCCTGCCGACGCTAACATTTCCTCTCTCTACCGGTCTTGGGGCTCTTGAGGACTAGGTGCCAGGGAAGGAGCTCAGGGGGCCGGGAGGGACATAACTAACCTGCTTTCACCTCACAGGCTGGCTGCCCGGTGTCTGAAGAGTCCTGACCAACGTTTCTCTCTCTCTCTCTCTCCCATCCCCTCCCATTTCTCTCTTTCTCTCTCTGCCTCCTCCTCCACCCCTTCCCTTTCTGACCCCCTCTTGTGCACTGCCAGAACACCTTGGATTTGAATTAAAGGGTACGGAACCTCTATGTATCTCTCAGCGCCATCCACACAGCCCCTCTCCACAGCCTCTGGCACCATGTGGCTGAATGTTTGGTTTCCTTTTCAAAAGACAGAAAAGGGATGATTCCAAACAGCTCCCCTGGACCTACCCAAATATCCTGTCATAAACTATGTTGATTTGGGGAGGCAAGAGAAGCTCGCCAATAGCAGGGTGCCTGCTGGGGGTGCCTCCTGAGCTGTGGGCAGCCCAGGAAGTCAGATAGAGACAGGCTCCATATTGAACATGGCCGCCCGAAGAACTAGTATCTGGAAACCACAGAAGCCCGGGTTGGAGAGTTGTGCAGAGAGGCATCTCTTTCCATGTGACTTTAATCCTCTTTCTTTTTTCCATTTCCATCCATTTCCATTGCTTTTTGCTCTATACCAGGCTGGTAGCTGATAACTCCTCATTTGTCTCTGCCCCTGCCCTGCGTCTGTCTGCCAAGCTTTGCCATCTGCTTGAGGCTGTCACTCCGTTCATGAGCTGTCCCCGCGATGGGACCTGTGTGCATCTTTGGGCAAGACCAGCAAGGGTCTGGGTTGGACTGGCCTCTGATGCTACCCTTCCCCCAGTTCAGAATCTTACCTGCCCCTGCCCCCTGCCATTTATGTGCAACTGCCTTCTGGCCCCTGGAAGACCCCTCCAGGGGTGTTCCATGTTTCCAGCTCTCTGGCTTTGGGCTGAGAGGCTGTACCCCAGCACAACTGTCCAGACTTGAGCACTACAACAGGAGCCATGTGGGGTTGAAGCTTCTGTGGGGCGGGCCCTCAGATGAAGTGCAGAGTCTGCAGTGATGTAGGGACTGTTCTTGTGGCGGGTTTGGGGAGGCCTTAGTTCCCCTATCAGGCGAACCCTATCAGCTATTCTCTGTGGAAGACAGAACTCATAGTCGATATAAGTGAGTGGGTCTGCCTGTATCTGCTGACTGCGATGGGGTGGGGAGGAGAGGGGTTGCGCCTGTGTGGGCTGTGACTGTGGGAGGGTGCACAGGACTACAGGACTGAATCTTCAGGTCTGTGTGTGTGTGGGTGTTGCAGGAGTGAGAATCCACGTGCCTCGTTAGGTCCCTCAGGGCAGGGTGTGAGTGCTCGGAGTGGGCAGTGGAATCTTCGTGTTAAGGGTGGACCTTGCGCAGTTGGACCTGAGTGTGTGGAGGGCAGTGTGAGTGTAAGCAGACGTGTGTCCATGTCTGCGTATCCCTCACTCACCAAGTTGCCAAGTATCTACCCAACACCAGCACTGACCAGACACACAGCGTGCCTGCCCTCCTGGCGCTCACATTTGCAGATGAGACAGCACGCTAACAGGACCGACACCAAGGGGCAATAAATGTTATACAGAAAACTCAATGAGGCGGTGGGATGGTGCCTGGGGGGAATGGAGAGCTGCTATAGCCAAGAGGTCAGGAGAGGCTTGTCTGCTCAAGAGACATCTAGGCCAAAGCCTGATGCAAAGTTGCCCCCCTCGCCAACACCCAGAGGAGCCTTGAAGGTGGGGGACGTAGCAAGTATAGGGGTGTTGTGATTGGAACAGGCTTGCCTTGATCATGGACAGAAAGACCACCAGAGATTGCAAAGCACAGCAGACACGGGGAGAGAACCACATGTGAGATCCCAAAAGAAGGCTGAGACCAGATAGTCTGGGGGCTCGGAGGCCATGCGGAGGCTCCGGTTTTATTCAGACTGCTGTGGGAAGCCATCACAAGTCTCTAAGCTGGGGAGTAAAGTGACCCACTTTGTGGCTGTAAGTAAATGTTGCTCTGGGTGAACAGTAACCTGGCCGGGGGTGGGGTGGGAGGAGCAGAAGTAGAAAGTCCCATCGGAAGGTGCCATCTCAGGTGAGGGGTGGCACGATGCTGGACTAAGGTGGCAGCAGTCGTCAAACCCAAGACCACGTTGGAAGGTAGAACTGAGAGGAAGAGCAGATGGACAGCGGAGCCGATGGCAGGCTGGATCAGCTGTCAGGGTAGATGGGAAGAAAGGGGATGATCAGGATGGCCCCACGGTCCGGAGCCCGAGCAACAGGAAATGTGCTCCTGGGAGACGGGAGTAGCAGGCAGGTATGGAAAGAGGGCGGGGATTCCCTGATTCCGTTTGGCCATGGCTGTGGCATGAGCTAGTCAAGCCCAGGGAGAAGTCGGGGCAGGAGATAGAAACATACAGATGGCATTTAAAGTCTCTGGCTGAGTGAGCTCAGTAAAGGAGAGAAGGCAGGTAAAGAAACACAAGGAAGCCTCCAAGCCCTGGCCTTTCCCTCCCAGTCCACGGAGAAGAGAAGGAAACAGCCCAATAGAGCAGGAGCCCGGGAGAGGACGACCGTTCAAGAGTCCAGGGGCAGGGGAGGGAAGGAGTCAGCTGGGAGGGGGGCCGATGACCACAGGACTTGGCCCCCTGAGCAGGATGGTCTCAGGAAGGCGCAGTCCTCAACTAGCGAGAACTGAGGAGGAATGGAAGGTGAGAACTGGAGGCAGGGCTGCAGCCAGAGCCCAGCAACAGGAGTTGAGGTGGCGGTCTGGCTGTTTAGGGCTCCCCCTGGTTGTGTGTCAGTGGGCATGAGTGTGCATGCAGGTGTGCATGGGTGTGCATGGACCTCTGTGAAGGGTCTGAGTCAGGTAGGCGTAACTGTAAATGTGTGTGTGTCTGGAGGGTTTGGTGTGCTGGTTGTGGCCGGTGTGTATACCTTTGCCACAGAGATACCACAGGCCCCAGAAGTCAGGAACGTTTCCCAGGGCCCCACTGAGGCACTGAGGGCCAGCCTCCACTTCTTCCTGCGCTGGGAGGAGGGGCACTGTGGAGGCCAGCCAGCAGGGGCAGCGGGCCGGGGTGGGCAGCCTTGATTGGCGAGTGCTGTCACCTTTTCCTTTTCTTCGTCCTGGCTTTCTTGGCTTCAGAAGGGGAGGGGTGGCCCCCAAACAATAGAGGGTAGTCAGGCCTTTCTCAGGGCTTCCAGCCTAACTCAGCTCCTTAGAAAGTGTGGGAACTGTTCCTTGCTCACAGGGCCACCCTCTATGTAGAAATGGGAGGGCTGGAGTGAGCCAGGGCCACTATCATGACCAGCCTCGAGGGATAACAAAGGCCTTCATCCCCAGGCCCTCTTCTAGGCCTGGCTGGCTCTGTCCCTGCTCCTGTCCTTGGCAGCCCTCCTTAATCCAGCCTTGGTCTGACATACTATCACCAGCCCAGAACAAGCCACCCTCTGCCCTCTCAAAGAAGCTGAGGTGGCTGGGCCAGGGTCTCCATGCACTGCCACGAAGAACCCCCCCCTCCCCGCCCCAAGTACTCCCAGGTCCTTAGCAGCCATCAGGCCACAGTGGAGCAGGGCAGGGTTGCTGGCCAGGCTGAGTTTCCCTCCCCTGCCCTGAGCCGTTGGGAGCCTGCCTCTACTTCATCCCGTCCCATCCCTGCTTTCCACTCAGGCATGGGGCTCGGGAGGATGAACTCAGGGGTGGTGCATGTGGCTAGATCCACAGATGGGTGGGAATTGGAGGCAGTGCAATCCAGGAGCTAGTAGGAGGGAAGGCACTGGCTGGGAGGGAAGGGATGGAAGTTGCTGGACAGAGCCTGAGCTGCAGGGGGCTGAGGCTCAGGGGGCAGGGTCTATACCACCGTCCTGTCAGGGTCTGCTGCACACCCTGCCCCTCACGTCTGCTGTGCCTCTGCAGAAGCCGAGGAGCTGTACCAGAAGAGGGTCCTGACTATCACCGGCATCTGCGTTGCTCTGCTGGTCGTGGGCATCGTCTGCGTGGTCGCCTACTGCAAGACCAAGTGAGTGGCAGGCAGGCCGGGCTGGGTGGGGCCAAGCCTAGGAGGGGCCTCCAAGACTTTCTGTGAGGACGAGTTCTCCTTCTTCACCCCACTGTGCCTGGTCTCAGCCCCTCACACCCCCTACACCCCATCTGCCCCTTCAGGGGCCTTTGCAGTGCGGGGCGGCGGGAGGTAAAGGTCCAAAGGGCTAGGCCAAGCAGCAGGGCCAGAGATCAGAGGTCAGGAGGCCCCAGAGGACATGAGCACAGGCTTTGGAAGAAGACAGATCCGTGTTCAAACTCAACCTTGCGACTTCCTGTGTAACCTTAAGCACATTGATGAGCCCGTCCGAGTCCTCATGGTAACGATTCTATTGTGGATCTCAGAGGGTACCTCGAGAGCATGCACTGACCCCACAGGCTCCTGAGCTAGTGCCCCAGCAAGTCGGCAGTGCTAGGGAGCAGGGGTAAAAGCGCAGACTGTGCCTGGTCTCAGCCCCTCACACCCCCTACACCCCAACTGCCCCTTCAGGGGCCTTTGCAGTGCGGGGCGGCGGGAGGTAAAGGTCCAAAGGGCTAGGCCAAGCAGCAGGGCCAGAGATCAGAGGTCAGGAGGCCCCAGAGGACATGAGCACAGGCTTTGGAAGAAGACAGATCCGTGTTCAAACTCAACCTTGCGACTTCCTGTGTAACCTTAAGCAAGCACATTGATGAGCCCGTCCGAGTCCTCATGGTAACGATTCTATTGTGGATCTCAGAGGGTACCTCGAGAGCATGCACTGACCCCACAGGCTCCTGAGCTAGTGCCCCAGCAAGTCGGCAGTGCTAGGGAGCAGGGGTAAAAGCGCAGAGAAAGAAAGAGGCCCCAAAAGGCACAGCCTGCCACCACCTGGAAGCAGCAGAGACAAGAGCACAGGAAAGGTGGGACTGGGTTCCTCTGGGCAGAGAGAGGGGGCAGAATCTTGGAGAATCGTAGATGAAGGGAGCTGGGCCATTTGGGCTAAAAGACAATCCCAGATGAGGGTTGACTGTGTTTTTGGAGCCCAGACTAGTTGGAGCAAAGGGCTAGGGTCAGGGGGAAAGGGGGCATGAGTCTGAAGGTGGCACTATCAGGCTTGAATGCCAAACCAGAAATTCTGGGCTTATCCTGCAGACGATGGTTTTAGAATGATATGATGCAGAAGAATGGCAGGTTTGTCATACTTGTCCACACCTAGAGTCATAGTGTGGGCATAGCAATCCTTGTAGGGGCTGAGTCCCTGAATTTGGGCTCCTACTCCCCCTGTCTGTGGGAGCTGAGGCCCTGCTGGCCTTGTCATGGGTCCAGGATCAGAAGACTGGAGGGGAAGGAGGAGGAAGACATGGGGCTCAGGTGCCCAGAGGAGACTGGGCCAAGAGGAAAATCCGAGTCCAACAGCTGGGGGAGGAGCAACCCTTTTTCCTGCATACACTGCACTTACTCGTGTTTTCAACAAACATTCATTCAGGCCTGCTGGACGCCCCAGCCCATGGGCAGTGCTCAGAGCAATACGTCTTAGTGTCATGGGGCATGTTTTAGGGGCATTTAACCTTGGCTGGAGGGCAGGAAAGGTTTCCCTTGGGAAGCAGCATTTAGGCTTGTACCTGAGAGGTGAGCAGGTGAAGAGGCAGAGAAGGGATTCCAGGTGAATGGACTCAAGAGTGTGAAGGAGAGAGGCCAGAGAGGGCTGCACGGTGGAGCATCAGAAACCAGCTGCAGTGGGAAGGGGAAGCCTGGTGGGCAGCGCAGCGAAAGGTAGGGCTGGGAGGAAACCAGGCCCTGACGGCCAGCAGATTTCTTGCACATTCCATATGTGCCAGCGTAAAGTGGCTATGGCACAGGCTCTGCCTAGCCATAGCGCCCTTGTTTGTTTTCTTCATGGCACTTTAGTAAAAGCATCTAGTTCATTTGTTTATGTGTTTATCAGCTCCCTCCCCAACTGGCCTGTAGGCCCCCGAGGACAACCTCCGTGTCCTTCCTCTCTGCTCCAAAACAGTGTCTGGCATGCAGTAAAAACTCAGTAAACACCAAGTGAATGATCACCGGCGGGATGGAGCCGGCACCACACAATACCGTTTTATGTACTTTAGTTGCCACCAGTCTTTGAATGGGTCAGTGAAGGCCCTGCTGTGCAGCTGAGGAGGGTGAGAGACTTGCCAGGGTCATGAGAGCTAGAAGGCAGTGCGGCTCATCTCTCAGTGCAGCCAAAGCTCCCAGCCATGACGCTCGGGTCCTGCAGGATTCAGAGGGTGGCGATGGTGTGGGGGCAGACTGGAGGGGTCCTAGCTGACGGCAGAAGAGCAGTAGCCACAGCAGTCCAGGGCCAAGGTCAGAGGAGCATCCCTGGAGGGACAGCCAGGGAAATTCACCTGCTGCTGGCAGGGACATACTGGGCTGACCCGCCCTCCCCCTGTGCAGAAAGCAGCGGAAGCAGATGCACAACCACCTCCGGCAGAACATGTGCCCAGCCCACCAGAACCGGAGCTTGGCCAACGGGCCCAGCCACCCCCGGCTGGACCCTGAGGAGATCCAGATGGCAGATGTAAGTGTTGTGCCCGAGCCCCTCTGGGCCACCGCTGGCCACCCCATCCTCACACCCCCTGCAAGGATGGGCCAGGGCCGCAGCCAGCCCATTCTATGATCAGCCTAGCCTGCGACTGCCCCACCAGGATGGCAGGACTCACTTTACCCACCTTCGTAAAGAAAAGTAGGGGGTCGATTTGCAGGGACCATCACTCTGACAACAACATCACTTCCCATCCAGTGCCCCCCGCCCCCCGCACCCTGGAGCTTAGTGCTCCTCACCTCTCTACCCCAACAAGAAAGAGGGCTGCCCTGGTCCCCCATCACTACTAACTCCAGCTCAACTCTGTCTGTTCCAGTATATCTCCAAGAACGTGCCAGCCACAGACCACGTCATCCGGAGGGAAACTGAGACCACATTCTCTGGGAGCCACTCCTGTTCTCCTTCTCACCACTGCTCCACAGCCACACCCACGTCCAGCCACAGGTGGGCACCAGCAAGGCTACCCAACTCGTAGAGCCCCGTGCTTTATCTGGCATACAGAGCCTCCTCAGTCACGTGCCCAGGCCTGTCTGGCACCCTCTCCTGCATTGCCGCATGAATCACAGTCCACCTTAGCTTTCTGTCCAGAATTGGGGAGGCCTGTCCACACAAGCACAAAGGCTCACATGTCTCAAGAAACAGCACAGATAGCCTCTGCCTTTTCTGGGGAGCAGCACAGCGCAGTCCAGGCCCCTGAATTTTGACTACCGGGGCTGGGCTCCTGAGATAGGCGGCTACGCACCATGGCGGGCAAGGTTCCAGGCAAGAGCTCTGGGACAAGGCTGGGGAGAAGCTGGTTGTAAGGAGGAAAGGAAGGGGCCTCTGCACATCACAGCTCACACACATCTGTGGAACCACAGCTCTTCTCCCAACCCTGGGGTTGGACATTTGTGCTACTCCACATCAGCCCAGAGTAGAGCAGGGCAGTGAGCTGAGGGCACTCGAGATGAGGTGAAAATCCTGGGGGGTGCTGGCCACAGGCCTACACCAGCTGGGCCACCCTGCCCTTCCTGACCTCCTGCCTTGCTCCCACCTGGCTTTCCCAGACACGAGAGCCACACGTGGAGCCTGGAACGTTCTGAGAGCCTGACATCCGACTCCCAGTCAGGCATCATGCTGTCTTCAGTGGGCACCAGCAAGTGCAACAGCCCAGCATGCGTGGAGGCCCGGGCACGGCGAGCAGCAGCCTACAGCCTGGAGGAGCGGCGCAGGGCCACCGTGCCTCCCTACCATGACTCCGTAGACTCCCTGCGTGACTCTCCACACAGTGAGAGGTCAGTTCCTCCCCATGACTTGTGCCCTGCCTTGGCCAGAGGGCTGGCACCACGGACCCAAGGCTGACCCTTAGAGCATCTCAGAGACCCTCCAAAACTTCCTCTTTAAGATGAGAAAACAAATACCAGAAAGGCGAAATGGTCTGCTCGGGGCCATCAGCATGTTAACGATAGACTGGGAACGTAGCTAGGTCAGTGGCCCTGGTGTGGGATGACTATCTCGTTTAATTGCTCTAGTGGACACTTCTCAGAGTAGACGGGGTTGCTATTAATAACTGTATTGGAACATCAGAACAAACAGCGGCTGTCGCGGATAGTCGGGACACAAGCTCGTTCTGTCCAGGCATCACCTAGAGGCCCCATGTCCCAGCAGGAACAGGGAGACACCAAAATCAAGTAGGCTGGAGAATGGGAGGGGAGGCTGTTCTTAAAAAGACTGACCAATGCAGGCTGAACATGAGCCAAGAGTGACCACGGGTCCTGGCAGTATCGGCGCAAGGCTCCCCCAGTTCAAGGACTTGCTGGGTTCCTAGGCAGTGCATGCAATAAGAGCCCGGAGATGCCTCTTCTTTTCTGACTGCAAAACAAGAGTCACAGAAGCAGCCCCCCATTTTGCTCAGCCCTTGAGTGGCCCTCGGCAAGCTAGGTACATGGGAGGAGAGGAGAGGAAGGCAGACAGTACTAGGAGCTCCAGGCCAGACAGAAAGGAGAGGAGCAGGTGTTCTCCCAGTCCCCACTCAGCCTACTCCACATCCCCTGGAGCTGGGCCGGCCTGCCTAGGATCCGGAGAGAGTCACCTGACTCCCGCTCCTGAAGAGCTCCCAGCCAGAGACCAATCACTGATGCTCACAGCAGCCTGCAGAAAGCACAGGACAGCACACAGGGCCCACAAACTCAGTCTGACTGCGGACTTGGGAAGTAGCCAGGTTTTCCAAGACCAGCCTTGCCCTGCCCAGCCCCACCACCTGCAGGCTGACCACCTGTGTGTTCTCTCAGCTGTAGAACAGGGAGAACACATCTGTTATGCATGGTTCTTGGGAAGGCCGCCTGGGACACTGTGCACAGAGCTGTGTGCCTCCTGCCTGTAGCAGAGGACTCCTTAACGGGTGGTAGGAAGGTGAGAGGTAGAGAGATGGGGAAGGGAAGCATGGCAGGCATGGAGAACAACTTCAGCTCTTTCAACAGAGGCCCTTAAGAACATGGGGGTTGAGTGAGGAGCAGGGTAGGCCGTGGGCAGCAGCGAAGCTGGACCTGCAGGCAAGCCACTGCTGGAGAGATGGACTAGGGCCTTGGGCTTCTAGAATGGGGAGCCTGGGCGATTAAGCAGGAAAGGCCTCCGTAGGCAGAGCTGAGACTTTAACATTACTCTGGGACCTGCACAGAGGGAAGCAGGCACAACCAGAGAGCACAGCTGTCCCGACAGGGTAGGTGTGTCCCAGGAAAGGGGGAATCAGTAGGAGTTGCCAGTTGGTTAGAGCTGCCTGTGGGAGAAGGAAGAGTGGGGTCAGGTGGTTCAGAAAGAACGAAACAGGCACTCTCCCGACAGCAGTGAGAAGAGAGCCTGGAAGTAAGAGGGCTCTGTCCTGAGGTGGACAATGGTGGGCAGGAGTCCAATGGCTGGCTCACCAAGGGATGTGGAGAATGAAAAGGGCCCAGGGTCCAGGCCCCAGACTGGGAGATGTTAGCAAAGGCAAACTTCTAAAGGAACCTAGGGTCTTTATGCAAGTAGAGACACCTCAGTGAGGCCTGGGCACCTGTCATTCCTGGCTGAGGACCCTGCCTGAGGTGTGAGCAGTCACTTCCTTGAAACATCTTTTGACTTCAAGATAAGGACAAGTCCCCTCACTGAAGCCATCAAGCCATGGGATGAATTCCCTGCAGGCCCAGTCAGTCCAGGCTACAGAAGTATCTGAATGGGGACTCGTGTCTTCTGGAACTGGGCAAGATGAGTCCTGGTTCCTGCCTGGCCTCCATTCAAATCCCAGCTCTGCCACTTCCTGGCTGTGTGAGCCTTGAATAAGGCACTGAAATGTTCTGGGTCCCAGTTTCCTGAATGTAGAATGGGACAAATGTTAAGGGCCTTAATTACTCTATGAGGTGAGCCCCAACCTGAGCCTGACCCAGTGACGGTGGGCAATCACACAGCAAATAACTGTTGATAGAGGCTTGCCACAGGTGATGCTCGGCGCCAGAATGTCCCGCTGCTACATTTCTGGGAGTGTCCCAGTGAGATGGAATGAACAGCATGGTCATCCCCACTTATCAGATTGAGAAACTGAGGCTCCAAGAGGTGAAGGAAATTGCATAACATCACTGAGGATTACACCATCACTTTTGCAGGCGGGATCCTGGGCAAGGGTACTCTGGGTCCGGTGTCCACCACTCCCATATTTCCCCACCCCTCTCCCTGCAGGTACGTGTCGGCCCTGACAACGCCAGCGCGCCTCTCTCCCGTGGACTTCCACTATTCACTGGCCACGCAGGTGCCGACTTTCGAGATCACGTCCCC